GTATGTATGTATGTATGTATGTATGTCCCCTATGCCCGGCCAAACCGCCCAAGCGATCTGGATGCAAATTTCCGAGGGCGATTAGCACGTCTGGGAGGTGGTTCTGGCTGAAACAAAAATTTAAAAAAGTTAAAAAGTTAAAAATTTATAAAAATTCGATTTATAAATAGATTAACATCACGTACGTGTGAATCCATGGTGTATTCCCTTAACGGCGCAGTGGCGTAATTGCTAGAACATTCGTATCCTACACTGGGATTCCGGGTTCGAGTCCCAGCTGGGCGACTTATTTGCCCCTTTTTTCCTTTTACCCTTTTACCTACCTCTTTAGTATGTATTTTTTTTTATCTTTTATTTATTAATTTATTTAATTTATTATTTTTTTAATTTATTAATTATTTTTATTTTTTATGTCTTCTCTTTTGATTTCTTATCATTTTTTACTGTTTGGGATGGGATGGGATGGGATGGGATGGATGCATGGATAGATAGATAGTTAGATTTTTTTTGGTATTTTCCTTTCAACCAAGTGGTCACCAACTGAGTAACGCCACTGATTTCCCCGGGCAACGCCGGGTATCCCGCTAGTAGAGAATAAATTGTTGAGCTACTCTACTTCGTTAGAGAATTGATTTGATTGAGATATGGATCACGTTGACGGATACTCGGGTCGATCGGAATATCGTGGGTCGAGCCATGAATAATTAATTCCCATTTGATGACGGAAAACGCTAATTGAGTATAATCAAGAGTAGATAATAACACATTTTGTGATTATCTACTCTTGGTATAATGGTACCGAGCTGTTATACTTATTTTAGTATAGGCGTATTTGCCATTAAGAAAGCCCATAAACACAGAATGAGCACATAATGATGCTACGGTGGCCGCATAGAACATATAGCAATTTTCATGAGGGAAGTATTTTATGTGAAAAAAATGTAGATCTTAGAGTTAATTGCCATTGGTATTGCTCAGTGATATCACAGACTAACGGATACGTGTGTACGACTACTATGTATCCGTTAGTCTGTGGTGATATTGCTGAAAGATTTTCACGACCACGTGAAAATCGATTCCGATACGAGCATGCGTGCAGCACCTATGGCGTGCACACGCCGAGCGAAACGATCATGGCCGAGTCAAAAACTGGGTTCCGAGCCTTATTTCCGTGAAATAGTTAACGAACGAC